GTGAAATCTGCGTTTTATTATGTTTTTTTATTATACTATAGGCGAATTTCACCGTCGTAAAATTTTTATCAAATTTGGATGGCAAGTATATATGTGTCATAAAATCACCTCATCATTTCCTAAATCTATGCGATAGTTAAAATCTCCAAAAAAAACGACATGTCTTAAGATAAAATAATGATTAGTAAATTGTCGTCAACTGATAAGCTTTTTGTTGTTTCATCTTAACATTTACTTACTGATGATGTGTAAGGCGACGACCATTTCGAAATATTAATCCATCATTGATAGTATGGTAATCTTTATTCCTATCTTCTAAGTTTGATTGACCTACATGATAATTATGGAATCGTATATTAACAATCAACTTAACATAGATAAAGTTATATATTCGTTTCTTACCAGACGCCAAATGTGCTGTAACAAAGCATATGCTCGTATCATGATAATCAAGACGAATAGCTACGCCACCTTTATTTCCAGCCATGCCACCTAAACCCGTCTGCAATATCAAAAAAAAAGGATTATTAAATATTCATGTATTAGAGATGAAAAAAAAAGATCCATACTTTTTTCATTACATATTCAACATTGCGTATGTTGGATACAATATCGGATCTCGCGTAAATAACTAATGCAGTACCAACTAACTGTCCTGACCGCAGTATTACATAATTAGAACGTTGACCAGGACGACTATTTAAGACTTTACTTATTTCTTTCTCCCAAATGCGTCTAAATTTATGTACAAATTACTAAAGGATATGTTACACCAAGATGTTATGAACAAAACTTACAATTTTTCTGGATCAGCTGAAACAATCTGAATTAATTTGTAAAAAATTTTTGGTTTAAAAATTTATTGTGTGCTCTGCAATCTTTTGAGGTCATGTACAAAGAAAAATCATGCATTTTACCTGTTGCGCTTTTAATTCGACAATCTCCTGGAAACCGATTACAAATAAATGAGGATCCGGTTCGTCTATTTATCAAAAACAAAAAAATAAATAAAATAAAAAATAAAAAATAAAAAAATAAAATAAAATGAATTGAGATGAGCGAAATTAGGATTTCCATTACATACGGTCATTAAAAGCGAATAACCAAGGTGAAAGAGACTCTCCGGACGGTAGACGTCCATTCAAATTGTATGAACCGACATATACATTTATCGTAGACTTCGAAGAATAGTCGTTTAGCCTGCATATTATATCAATGTTGATAATTTTATAAACGTGCAAGAATAGTCATGCTCGGTTGATAACTATCATATTATGCCATTACCTATTTAGCATGTCTTCACGTATCAACTCATTAACTGGATCATGGATCTCAATTTCTTTGGAGTTTAACAATTTTCCCTTTAGAAAAATTCAATAAAAATAATTATAATCATTTCCTTGGGTTGTATCATTGTTCAATTTGACACAAATAACTTACAAGTAACAAATCAATAGTTTCCTGTTTTGACTTATCTTGAAAGTTATTGATATAAAACCTGTTGACGGTCTTTGTGGCATCAGTAAGGACACCTACAAGGCAATTTAATATATAATGTATATATTATGATGTTTGATGTTTAGTTTATGGGGTGCCAGAATTTGCATGTAAGAAATATGTACCTGCCCACGTGACCTTTCCACTTCGAGTGTATTCTGATCTGAGAGCTCCAGTACCAGTATAAATTTTTGATAGACTATCACCATTTTCCGCCCATAAAGTAGAATGTCGAGAATGGAGATTTTCAATATCAAACGACGAAATATCTCCCATAAGTCTAACATATGTATTCAGCGCTTCTTTTGATAATGCAGTTTGGACCACATTTGTTCTATTGAGCCAGAAATTATTGCCATTGTAAATAACAACATATTACTCTCACGCGTAAAAGTCTATGTCAACTCAAGATTCAATTTCAAAATTTAATCATGATTTTGCTTTGGATAATACAAAGCTACAAAATTTAAAACCTTGAATTAACATAGAGTTCTACGGATGAGCATTAAGCATATCTAAAAGTGAATATGACATTACCTATCTAGACTTAAAATACAATTATTAAAATAAAAAATAAATATTTATCAAATTAAGACAATGATATAAAAAATAAAATAAACAATGGTAATAAGTACCAATCCATGCAATTAGTTCTAAAAACACCTTTTTGATAAAATATAGGACAATTTGATTCCATATCCTGAGCAAAAAATGCAAAGTCTTCTATTCTTTCACCAATCATGCTAAATAAATGTACCATATTTTCATAATTGCCAGTTTTACAGATTGAATTAAAATCAAAATCTGTAAGCAATACACGATTTTCTAAACCATTTCCATTTAAATCTATGATACGAGCTTTATATTCTTTGCTCAATGCATATTCTCCCTCTTTGATACCAAGAAGATTTACGATATGTACATTGCCATATCTGCTCTGCAGTTCATTGAAATGACGTTCGACAGCAGGTTGTGTCGCAGCAGGACCGCGTGATATCTGAATTTTGTGAGCCATCATTTGTAATCCCTTAAAATAATAAAAATAAACATTAGATGAAATTAGAACGATAGTTAAGAAAAATGATTATGAGATAATAACTTGTTATACCTGCTGTTCCCAGAATACTAAATAAGAATACGAGCAACTGAATTATCGTGAATTTGTATTAATTTGTATAAATAATCATAACTAGTAATGTTTAATACCTGGGACGCTCCCGCGAATTTGGATATAAGAAAAGCAAGTTTTAGGCAGTTGTAATATTGTTTCAGTCTGAAAAATCAATCAAAAGTTATTAAACATAATTATATATATTTCGATTTAGATATAGACTATTTAAATGTATTAATACCTCGACAAAATTAGCAACATTGCCATCATCGTCTAACCCACGAATATTGAACCTTGTTCCTTGAAAAGAAAAAATAGACTAATCATCAGATAACGCTAATGGTAAATCTTAAATTTAGATAAAAAAAAGTTACCAGCACGTTTACAACTTAATTTAGATATGAGTGATAAAGATACACTTGATGAACCAATTATTGTATCTTCCATTCCGACATATCCCTGAATAGCTAATACCTTTAAATTAAGGCAATTAGATGAGAAAAAGACCGATTTTACAAAATCTCGACTCAACTGTACAAAAAGAAAAACTTACTAAAAAACCGCAATTGTCCATTTCTAATTGTTTTAATTTATCAAGCTTAGATCTAAAGTTCAACAATTCACCAATAATAAACTTATTCCATAGGAAATGTTCGTCATAAGTATATTTATCTGCCGATGATATTGTTGACCTAAAATTTTAACAAAATATAAATTTTTTTTTAAAAACAAAATTTTTTTGCCCACGGATCAGAGAATAAAATTATAACATTATACCTAACGTTCAAAGACTTGGTTAAGTCAAAATCTGAAGAAAAATAAAAGTGACCATTTGATAGTAACTTTCTTAATTGTGCACATGGATGCTCGTAGGATTGTTGTGGCAATTGATCATTGAAAGAATTGTAATCGTAATTGCCGGGGTATGCCGAAACAGAATACCGTGTACTATTGGTAAGCGAATGAAATTCTACATCAATAATTCGAAAAACAGACTCATTCGGACGAATTGCCCCAACGAGACGACACTCTGTTACAACAGCTAAGAACATATCTTAAAAATTTAAAGATATATAAGTAATAAATATTTATTCGTTTAAATTTACGAAAATATATATATCTATATATTACCTTGTTCAACTTGAAGCAATCCAAGGCACCCATAAACAGCTCTCGAGCCAAGTGGCCGATAGTCCCCTATATCAGCCTCGGATTCACGTAAAAGTCTTACATTACATTGTAATGAAGAATCGTTATAACTTTGTTCTACTTGATCAAATAATAATAATAAAGGATTTGATTTTTCGTAGGGGTTACCATCAGATTCAAATTGAATTGGTCGAAGGGCAATAGAACGAGGGTATTTTCGAAATAATATTTCACTTTGCATTATTTGCAAGAAACAGAACTGCGATTCGGACTTAACAAATTTAGAGATTTAAAGTTAGAAATGACGACCATAAAAGGGTTAATAATGCTGATCAAATTAATCTGGAATTTTCTTTGATTGTTCTATATGTAGATATTGAATTGCATACGAAGTATTTGACAAATGCACTTAAGATTCAAAGAGACCAATGTAGTATATTCACAAAGGCTTTACTAACGCTAATACACCAGGTTGGTTGTTATAAATATTCTTAACGGGTATTTATAAACTTTTTTCTTCTCAATAGTGCTCGGCATAATCAAGTAAAAACTTATACTTGATCAAGTCGGAGATTAAACAATCATCAGTTATATACAGCAGTACAGTATAAACTCGACATATAACAGATAACTGATCCGTTTTTGATCATGTATTTGAATGCCAAGTTTTTGCTTGAGTGTGCCAAGTAATGAATTGAGATTTAAAAAAAATGCCAATAACTTTTTCAGCCCTTAAGTACAAATGTTTTATTATTGCTTTGATATAGCTTTTCAAGAAAATTGATCAGGCACTACTATTATCTTAATTTCGGTTTTCTATATACTGTATCTATAGAATTAAAGTATGAATTTGGCTAGCCAATTATCAAAACATCTTTGATACAATTATCGACATTTTGAATTTTTTCCAAAACTTAAGCAAAGATTTCTTGAAATTTCCTAATCAAATTTGATAAAAATTTTACGACGGTGAAATTCGCCTATAGTATAATAAAAAAACATAATAAAACGCAGATTTCAC